CCCCCATGTAATTTTAAAATAGCAAAAACAAATTTTAAAATTTTTATTTGAATTTTTATAACTTTGTAAAGTCAATAACTTTATTTTTATACGTCCAAAAATCACAAATAAAATATTAAAAGATTCATAAAAATTCAAATAATAAATCTAAAATAATTTCTATAATAAAATGAACACAATTAAATTAATAAGATGGGAAGTGGATGCATATGGTCTAGGAGTTCTATCAACGATCATGGGGTACTCCACCTTCAACTGTGGACTACAGACCACACTTGCTTTATCAAATCGACCAAGTGTTTCCCATGACCCATAGTCCAAGCAGGGGCTAATTAGCGGGTTACCAGAGTATGACTGATGAGCCAAGGGGTCGCAATCTTAGTCTGTGGATTACAGGTCCTCCCCTAGAAACGAGTCAAGGTCACCATGACCTGATGCGCCCAAAGCTCTATAGTGTATAGGGATATCTCTCTCGCACATGCATACGCGTCACCTAAAGGTAGATAACTGGCTTTGCCGAACGATATATCAATATGCATGTCGTGTGATGGAACATGAATGAGGGTTTGACTCCCGTCTTTGTAGGCCTACCATCACACACAAGTGTCACACAGTCCCTCAGCTCACTCATCCAGGCATAAGCTCCGACCTCATCAAGGGCTAACCTAAAACCCTTATCGATTTATTCTTTATGCACAGGTACTTTGGGCTTTCCAACCGACTGACCTAGATCGTCAAGCACAATCTGATATCAACAAATATCATTTGCTTAATATGATCTACGAGAGACCACACTTCTATTAATTTTATGTTCCACTATAATAAATATTTCTCATTGCACACCCCCCGAAGCTATAGAGAATAAACTCCTCTCTCTCTAACCACTCATAGACCATTTCCTTTAATGGCGTCAAACCAAGGCCAAAACTCTTCGACTACCTTCAAATTTGTCCTCCTGTCTCGCAACTATGTTTCCAGCTGCTTTCTCACTCTAAGACAAAACCCCAACTCACTCATTTTCTCACTGTCTTCCTCTGCCCAAACAATGTCTCGCAACTCTGTTTCCAGCTGCTTTCTCACTCAAAGACAAAAACCCAACTCACTCATTTTCTCACTGTCTTCCTCTGCCCAAACAGTGCACCAATCTGTCTCTTCTTATTCTTCACTTCAATTCTAATTAAGTAAAACAAAAAACAAAAAAAAAAGAAGCTTGTGTGATGCAATGCCAGTTCTATTCGACCCAGCCACCCAAATTTTGGAAGCACTTTCTCTCTCTTAATTTTCAAGAATTTCCAATCCTTCACAAATCTGGTCACTCAAGATAAGTTCTTGTGACAATATGTTCTTGAGCAGAAGTTCTTTTACAGTATTTTTTAGATCTGAATTGCGTTGTTCTCCCGTGTTTCCTATTTTTTGTTTGCGGTACAAAACCCTCTGTTGTCCCTTGCTTTCCTATTTCCCTTCGCTACACAAACCCAAAAAGACTTGCGTTTTGCCTCTACCAAATGCTCTCTCACCAAAAAGGTATTTTGTCACTTTTGAAAAGGATGGACAAATTGAAGAAGCCAAGTAGGAACGTTGAGTTTGGTGGACTGTTGCGCTCTTGTGGACCATTCTATTTAGTTAATCTGACTTTGGAGGACCATACTATTTACTTAAACTACCTGAGCTTTTGTTGTTGGTATCCATCATTGTGATACCATTTTGTTCATAATGGAAATAATTTGATCTCTGTGATCTATAAGCTATTTTTGCCTATTGCATTAGGTAAACTGTTGATGTCGTGCTTGCCTCTAATGCTGGACCTTTGGTGAGTCGGATCCACCGCTAAAAATAGCCTCTGAAAATGAATGATCACCATCTACCAAATCGTGTTTCAAGTTTTGACTATCTGATACGTCTCTCTGTTGAGTCATGTTTTGACTATTTGATCTATTGTGGATTTTATTGTTCTCAACTTCGAATCTAAGGTCCAACTGTGCTGGTTGCTCCGTTGTTGATTTCAGTTGGCTCTTCCAAGTGCCTCTTGATCGAATTTCTCGATCATGTCGGTTTCGGATGCCTATGTTTAATGATTGAGTTTATGTTACTCAATCCTATCGGATGATGGAGTTGTTTGTTACTTCATCTATATCAAATTTACTTGATCCTATCTATTATGGATGCATGTTGATTTGTTGTTATGTGAGATTGTTCTATTCGAGATGTCGGTTTCTACGAATCGCTAATTTGCAGCTGTTCAAGCTTCATTTGTTCATACTTTATTACTAAGGCCTGCCTTGATGTCCAAACTCAAGTTGCTCTCTTAACGCATCTTGAGTTTGAGGGGGAGTGTGGAAATATAGAAACTTGCACTTATTTTTTTAAATAGTATACAACTTTGTAACTCTATAAATTAGGGCGTTTGTTCACATCTTTGTTAAGCTCAATAATACACCTTTCATGGGGGCTTAAGACCCAATTATATACAAATACAGTTTCACACAGCTACAACTCATATTAATTCTTCTTTAATTGAGGCATGAGCTGAGAAATATACCTATAATGCCAACTCTTTCTTCTTCCCAGCTGGGGAAGCTACTTTAACCCTTGAAGTGACAGCTAGGATATCTGGATTTCTGTATCAATACCTCTGTAATGCGGATAACAAATTTAATTTTTGTAAGAAATTCGTTGGAGCCGCTTACAGGAGATTGGATAAACATGGAATAATTGGTTTCTAATAGAAGCCAATCTACTCCTGAGAAGATGATGCGCCTAGTGAGCTTGGAACCTTTCCCTAGTAGCTCTAGACTGTATCGAAGCTCCTTGATCCCTTTAGTCTCCTGCTTTGTGGCAAAATTCAGGCATTTCCGCAACTTCAACAATGCAACAACTTTCAAACTTAACATGTTAAAGTTCACTCGAACTACCTTCCACATTTCCACAACAAAAGGGGCCACAAGTGGAAAGGCCCACGTTTTTTAAAACTTTCAAGATACACCATCCCAGTTATTTTCAAACATATTTCAAAAAGAGTTTTTTTAGACTTCCACAGGATCCTCCTCCTAGAGCGCATGAGGTGAAACCGTTTGCTCACCTACTCTATCCTCTAACCTACAACCATCAAGCTAAACTCTTAAACCTAACATGAGGTCATAAAACCAGATGGGTACTCCATGATTGCACGAGTCTAAAACCATAGTTACTGGGAGCTGAACTCTTAAACCTAAAATGAGGTCCTAAAACTAGATGGGTACTCCATGGTTGCATGAGTCTAAAACCATAATTACAGGGATTGCCCCTCAAGGGCATAGTTTTGGCTCCTATATCCAACTCACGTACTCCAAGTCAGAGATCACAATCGAAGCTCATTTTCTCTTTTGGGGGAAGTTCGTTCCCTTTTTTTAGGAATCTCAATCCCTTATTCAAAGGGAGTTAGATTCCCCAAATGAGGGAGCTCAATCCTTCTATTTGTGGATCTTGATCCATTCCGTATCATGTTGGAATCTCGATGTGCCGATGGGATCTCGATATCTGTATTTGTTGATCTCCGTCCATATCATGTAGTGATCCCAAACATCAAAAATTATAATCATTAGAGTGTCATATATATAGATTGTGGACTGTATAGTATTAGACTAGAGTTGTAAAATGTATAAACCTTACCATGAATTAAAATAATTAATAAAATGGAAAGAGAGAACCGCATCCGTTGCATAATCGGATCTAGTTTATGTGAGTATTGGGACTGTGATCCTCTATATTTATGGATTGAGGACCCCAAATTATATGGATCTCAAACCCTGGGTATTTGGGGTCAAGATCCCACGAGAAGTGGGAAAGACGGCCCTTATGAAATGGGATCTAGATCTCACAAGTGTTGGTACAGAGTTCCTTTATATATAGGATTTAGATCCATGCTAGATATATTATAGTGATTGCAATCCTAGACTACTGAATCTTTTGACCCATGTTGATCAAACAATCACGTTCCAGTTCCAAGAGTTGTTCCTGCTCCAGTTCCCGATAACTATGGTCTAAAGTCTAAACTACCAACTACATGAGGGCATGTCCATAGCAGTTTGGACAAGTCCATATGAGCCTGGTATGGATGCTTTGAGATCAAACGATCGGATGTTTCCTTATATAGTTCAATATCACTCCAAGCTATCAGCATCAAACTAGATTACCCCACACTGGATCTAGTTCCACTAGCATCACCATCATTGTCAAGATTCAAGCCCTAAATTACCCTGTGGTGGCATCATAATCGTACCATGAAAACCGCATCAAATTTAGCCCCATGATACCATCATAGTTCCACAGGCAGAAGAAACAAGTTTTTTTATCCAGAGGGATTACAACCACGAGATGAAGCAGTTCATCTAAAACCAAAAATACCTCAGGGTTTCAGAACAAAAAATATTCTATTGCAAGGACTTGCTAGCAAAATACCTTAAAAAAAAATACCATAGTTGTTTTGATGAATCCATCCAAACTCATATATACACCATGGGCTACTTGACTACTTCCAAGTCTTTTTCTTTGCCTCGCCGAGCTTGACTACTTCAAGTCAACGGGCTATTATTCTGAGTCTTCTTTTTTTTTTTTTTTGAAAGGCAAAAAAAATTGTACCATTTCTCGATTGTGCATGTCATCCTTGGGCAGGGGCCATGCTAATCTTCTCTGTATTGTTCCAATTTTATTAGATGTCTCCGAAGAGGCATATTCCAAGTCTCTATGACCACTTTTATACTAAAGACTGAATATGAGAGTCTTTATATCATGGTATATACTCGAAAGACTTGAAAATGGAAGTTCCAGAACGTTTAACATAAAGTCCTAGATGAATATCCAGTTTCACAACCTTTGTTTCAAAAGGAAAAGATGGTCAAAAGTTGTATTTTTTGAAGTTGACATAATTATTCAGGAAACGTGTTTTGATTTCTTTCTCGCACATTACCAGAAGCGCAACCACAAGGATCACTCATTTTTTTAACACATCGTTAGCATTTAAACTGAGCAACAATCCCATGACTTCCATCGATTGATATTATCTTAAATTATAGAACATATTGGGCTATAGTTCACACCTACGACGCAAAAATACATGAAAAATGGGTACAATTAACAGAGGTAAATTTTTTTCCAAAAATGAGTACCCTATGATATAAATAGACACCAAAAACTGATGTTGTAGTTTTGTTCATAGCTATATCCAGGCATCATAAGCTTGAACTTTCCCTATTGTAATGTTGATGAAGAAGTATCAAAAGACCTCCTCTGCACCAATAGGCAGGTGACCTTAGAGGTGTGGCCATGGATCTTATCAAGAGTGCATAACACAAAGTCTGGCCTGTGAAGAGCCAAGTTCAAATGGTCCTCTCCCACCAGTAAAGAAGTGGTATCAAGCAAAACATGCCACTTGTTTCGGTGAGCCTCTGAAACCCAATGCAACGAATACCTTGTCCCCGCCATCTCAGCTGGATAGGCAAACAACCCCTTTGGACTATGCTTACACTTTCGCCGAAAATATTGGCTTAGTTGCGATCCTGCGATTCTGAGGTCCAGCCATGTCTCAGGAGCAGGCACCACTTTTGAGTCCTTGTAAGTGGCAAATTCCCTTATGTAATCAGTTGCTTCTTCTAGTATGGTCATATAGTAATTGTAGCGGAAAAACGGATAGCTCTCACCGATAAGCACCATGGCCTCTCTATGCCCAGAGGTGAAGATCACTGAGTATTCATCCTCAGTTAGGCCGCAATGTTTTAGAACCCGGTTTCTAGCATGAATTTCCGGTATAGCGGTGCATTTCTCAGGAAATGAGGATTTCTTAGCCAAGATTTCGAGTAGTCTTGATGGCTCAAGCCGAGATTTCTCGAGGTCTGGCAAGTGGTTAGCCACAAAAGAAGGGGATGAGTCCTTTAGACCTCTTGGGGACTTCTTCTTGTCGTCCTGCCCATCTATTGCCTCATCATGGTAGATAAGAGAGAAGAGGTCATTCGTGTCTCCTTCTTCTAGCAAGCCATTGGAGTACTGGGGATATCGAGCAAGAACATATTGCTCGACATACTTCCTCTCGCTCGGGGTAATGGGTCCGGACCACCGTAGATCAAGGCCACGTAGGCTGGAGATGGCCTCGGCAATTATATGGGGAGGGATGACAGTATGTGGCTTCTGCTTCCAAGATTTGCACCAGAATTAGCAATTGATTGATTATAGTAGAAGAGCTATGAGAGATTGACTTAATAATTATTCTCTAGAAAACTTTTGGGAGTTCTTATAAGAAGAAAAGATAGAAATCGAGGAGACGTTTTCCAACCATGGTTTTCCATTTTTTGGGTAGAAATATGAGACTTGCCATAAATGAGATCTAACAAAGAATAAATCATAGAAGACAAATCAAAGGTTTTTGAAGTGCCAAATATGGTTCTGATGTGTGGCTTAGGACAAGGATCTATCCAAATTTCGTGCTTTGTTTTTATCTATTTATTTTTTGAAATTTGGTAGGAACATGGAAGGAATAAAAGAATCAAGAGTGATAAAAGTGCAGATTTTAGGTGTTCTTTTCAACAATATTCATTCAAGAAAAGTCCTAACATATCAAGCAAAACATTAATGGTAGGTATAAGGAGTGCGGCAGAGAGCAGATTCATCACAAAGTCGAACAGACTCAAAGGCTTTGCTCAAATTGTCAAGCAAGTTTCACAATTATTTAAAGAAAATGTAAAATCCTTTGCTTTTGTACACTTTATTTTTCAAAAACTTTGATAAATATTCACCAGAACACTATAGCCACAAAATGTGAAATTTCGATTGACTTGGAGCAAAGAGGCTTTTTTTTATGGCACTCTGTGCAACCATTTTCATGGTGGCCAGAGAGGTTAAAAATTTTCCAGAGATTGACTGAAAATATGCGAAAAGGAGGAAATTACAAAAAGTCGAAATCTGGGGACACTTGAAATATGCTTACCTTCATGATCATGCTAGTGGGCCTTCCATTATGGATTGGCGATCTTTCAATCACTGTAGTGATGGACTCATCCAACTCCAAGTCGATTCTAACAAGAGCCTAAATTCAAAGATAAAATTATCAAAATTAGGTGTGACAAAATCGATCATCTATTCAAAACTGTAAATTCAAAGATCAAATTATCAAAACTTAGACCACGAAATCGATCATCGAATCAAAACTGTGAGAATGAAAGGTGCAGATTGTAAATTACTTACTTTTGATCCTTCTTCAAACTGGTTTTGATGATTTTCATCCTTTCTTCCCATTGCCTCCTCTTTTATTGGCACTACTCTCATGAATCAATAGAAAGAACTATGGTCCAACCCAGTTCTCTCTCTCTCTCTCTCTCTCTCTCTCTCTCTCTCTCTCTAACTGTGGGTGTGTGAGAAGTGGTGGTTATGCAGAGGAGACCAAGCCCAACAAAAACCCACTATCTCTTGATTGCAGATATCTGAATTGCATTATTTACTAAAAGAGAGAGGAGGCATCAACCAGAGGAATCATTCTAAGAAACTGAGAGCAGCATACGCAGATTATGATTTGACATGTATGCCTCTATAACAAACACAAAAGATTTTTAATAATAAGCATACAGCAATATATGTTGAGTATATGCTCCCATTTGCATAATATTCAAAGGCTAAATCATCTAAACAAATGGTGAGGATTGCAATCGTATGACCAATTTTTTAAATTCGAAAGATGGTGACCATTGCCGTAGAAGTGGGTAAAAAGGAAGTTATCTTTTGGTTTTACCTGGTGTTTGAAAATTCGGATTGGTGAGATGGATCATTCATCCATAGATCCGTGTCGGATCATTGGATTGCTGATCCGGATCAGTCTCAATCGGTGAAAAAAATACTAAATAAATAAATAAAAGTTAAAATAGGCTTTTATGGGGTGGATATTTAGAGAATACCTAATAAAACATTATATAAGCTTAAAAAAAAGAGATCTATACCATCCTGAAAAAAGAGCGGGTTTTAAGGGGAAATCAGGCTGAGATGTATATCATCCTAAAACCAGTTTTGTTCCGACCAATTCCATCTAAATCAGAAATCGTTAGCTTTTAAAACAATGTACCCCATCTCTTTTCCCCGGTGGTGAATCCAAAAAAAAAAAACAAAGCAAGTGTGAAATGATAAAGTGAGGGTGATGAGCAAAGAAAGGGATTGTATAAAGGGACACCATTTACTTTTCACAATTCCTTACAATCATTTAATGAGAAATTTGATAGCTTGGATGTATCATAAAGTTCGAAAAAATTTCTTTTGAAGTTTTAACTTGATCAATGGAATAATTGCACACGGAGCTGAGAAAATCGTTCGGTGGTTTGATAATGACTCGAGTTTTAATCGGACATGGGGCATTTCTAATGTTTGCTTTTTATTTCATCTTTATAAATATTGTCGGTAATACATACAAGCATCTTTCATTTTCTTAAAATATATGTACCTAAGAAAGGTAGACATTGACAAGGACAATACTATTGGGGAAAACTAAGGATCACCGAAAAATAGGTAAGCTGAGAAATTATCAATATTTCAATTTTGACTCAAAAAAACATAATGAAAAAATTTGATATGTATATGGCTTAACTATGGCAGTACAATAATATCTTGAGTGATTTATGTAGAGACCTTAAAATTTTAGATAAAATACGAAATGTTCTACTTATACGTAAAAATTACAAAGAAGGTCGGTAAATCCTCTTTTTTCTTTTTTTTTCTTTTTTTTTACGGCCCCTTAGTCAACTAGATTTTTATTTTTATTTTTGTTTAATTGTTTTAGTTTTTTCGTTAATAGGACAGTGCTTTAAAGTTTGGGACACTACCTTACTAATGGAAAAAACTAAAAAAAATTAAAATCCGAGCTGACCGATGGGTAGTTTTGAAAAAGAAAAAAAAAAGGATTGTTGATCACCTTCTTTGTAATTTTCACATATAAGTGGAGCATTTTGTAATTTACTTAAAATTTTAAAATCCATACGTAAATAACTCTAAAATCTTCAAATAATATTTTTCTGCTGTGACTTGGCAGTATTTTGGTTCTTAATTGGAACAAATTTTGTCTAAAATTTGACTAAACACAACAACATGGTGTGCTTATTCCATTGTCAACTAAAAGCGTACAATGATTTTTTTTGGGGCATATATACAGAGAAAATTACTTGTACCAAGCATTAATTGCAAGCAAAACCTTAATATTCGAACTTTGCCCTAATTCCCAACTGCCTAAATCTTTAATGCCACTCTTATCTTCTTCTTTGCAATGATCTTTAAAGGGAAATGGATTATTCATTGGTTTACTATTTCTTTAACTTTTCAATTTTCTTGGGGAAATACAGTTGTTTTCTGAGCCTATATTTTCCTGGAATATGTTCGTAATTTCTCTCTTATTTTTAGGGGAATATGTATTTTCCGAGATAATTAGGTCAAACTTTTGATGTTGGCTTTTATTTATTCGATAATCTTAATTTAGTATGCTTATCAAAACCAAGATTCAAAGATTTCAAATAAACGAAGAGAGAAATTTCAAGACAGTTTAAAAAATGAGAACATTATTATAAGAGAAGTTTTTTTTTTGAAGATGGGTCAAATGCGCATTTATATTGATTCCTACAAAACACGCAATTGTATAATGATCTACTGAAAAATTTAGAGCTCTTAATGCATTTGAAAAAAGTAGAGAGTTTGAAAAAATAATGATTTAATACTTGCTTACTACGGTCAAGATTGGAAACGACTAAAAAAAAAAAAGGAAAAAGTTAAATATATAAAGGAAAATACAATGGGTGGAAGGGGGAGACATAGCGAATTCGGATCCCCCGATTCCCAATAGACTCGATTGGTTCCTGAAGTAGTTGGGCGAATCCATGCAAATTAGACTGATTCCAAGTTCCGATAAAAACTGGGTTAGTACGTACTAATTCCTAGCGCGGATCGAAATTTTCAGCCCGGATAGAAAATTCCCTATCTAAATAGGCAATTTTTAAAGATAAATGATCTTATAGGACCGTCTCCCACCCATGTGTGTAGGACTCCCAAAAGGATCACCATTGAAGTTGGCACAAATCTCTATAAAAATCAAATCTCACATCAATGTGATAATTTTTCTAGAGATCCGTACCAACTTTAATGGTGATCTTTTGGGATTCTACACACATGAGTGGGGGAAGGTCCTATAGAATCATTACTCATTTTTAAAACACGCGATTAAACAAAAAGACTAATCCTAGGAAGGTCCGTTAAAAAATTCTGAATTAATTTTCTTTTTCCGATAGATGTTGTTTGTAATGGGGAAGTGACTTATTCCAAGGGTGGCAATGGGCCAGGCCAACCTTGGATCTGACCTGGCATAGCCCTATAAGGCCATTGTTGGGCTAGCCAAGCCAAAAACAAATGAATAAAAAATAGGAAAAAAGAGGGTCAGACCGAGCGGCATTAGGATAGCACTAGCCCTAGCCCTAGCCTGTTCCTCAAGTCATAATTTGTAGCTCAGGCCCTACTTTTTCAAGGTTGGGCCTAGCTAACCTTGGACTTGGCCCGGTACAGTCCTACAGGGCTAGGGCTGAGCTAGCTAGGCCAAAGACAAATGAAAAAAAAAAAAAAAAAAAGAGGGTCATACCGAGAGGCACTAGGCTAGCATTGGCCGTAGTCTGACCCTCAGGCCATAGTTTGTGGCCCAAGCCCTACTTTTTCAAGGCCGGATTGGGCTGACTAGCCCATTGCTAGCCCTCTTGTAGAAAGTTGTTTGGCCCAATATTGTCAATTTGCTTCGTTTCGACCGAAGCCTTCGGTTTTTCACTCTAAATCGAAGCTAGACAAAGAAAAAAATAACTGATTCAGCCAAATTCGGCTTGCTTCAGGGTGCGTCGACTAGATTTGGGTTGGTTCGGTCGAAAAATGATGCTTTGGCCAAAGAGAATGAGGGCAAAAGTGATATTTTCTCTCTCTTTTTCTCTCAACGGAAACATAATATTTTCACTCTCTCTCTTAAGGGTGCAGTTGGCATACAGATGCATATGTAGGTGGAAAGGTAAAGTGCACCTTCAAATTTTATCATGGTATATAATTTTGATGTAAAATGTTCTTAAGATTATCTCAAAATCTATTTTTATATCTAATTATAAAATTTTAAATTTAAAAAATGGTTAAAATCAAGTAGATCTATAAACACATAAAAATCTTGAAAATAGACGGTGTAGATAATATGTTGTAAAATGCAGTATTTCTGAGACTTAAAATCTTTTTATTTTTTATAGTCATACATCTCGATGTCGAGATGATCATTCAAAGGGTTTTTCAACATTAAAACTACCTTTTCCGATGGATTTTTTGGGGGCATCCGTAGTTCTACATGATAAGGTAGCATCTTATATAAACTTTTTCCCCCCTCTTAAAAGTTAAAAGGTGTGGTTTCTATAAGGATGCAACCTTAAACAATCCAATTAAGACGCACATCAAAATTTTATCATAACATATAATTTTGTTATAAAAAATTCTTAGAATTATCTTAAAATCTATTTTTATACCTAATTAGAAAATTTTAAATTTTAAAAATGGTTAAAATCAAGTAGATCTATAAATATCTGAAAATTTTGAAAATGGATGGTCTAGATAATGTGTTGCAAGATGCACTATTTTCAGGACTCAAATTTTTATTTTTATTTTTTTTATTCATACATCTCAATGTCTAGATGATCGATTAGAAGGTTTATTCAACATTAAAATAACATTTCCGATAGATCTTTGAGGTGCATCTGTGATTTTACATTTTAAGGTTGCAACCTTATATAAACTTCTCCCAAAGTTAAAATATGTTAGCCATTTATCAGTTTTTACTTTTACAGCGAAGCTAACCGTTTACTCTCTCATCTCCACCTTGAAGCTCTTCTCACTTGTCATGCTACTCTCTCGATCTCTCTCAAAGTCCCCGTGCATGTCTCTCTCTATCTCCTAAGTCCCATGCATATCTCTCTCTCTTCTTAAGTCCTCTGCTGCGGGCAGCTATGTTCTAATTTTGGGCTTTTCAAAAACCCATATTGTTCCTTAATTTTGAGCTCCTGAAGACGAGTGCCCAAATTTTTCCATGACTAAAAATTCTTTCTTTTAACATTGTGCCCTAACATTGTACCGTAGTATTGGGTATTCTAAAAATATACCTTAATTCTGGGTTTTCCCATATTTCGCTCAAATTTAGGGCTTCTCTTTACATTGTTTTTATGAGAAATATTTTAAATTGATGTGCTTACTCTAATGTTTTTAAAATTTTTTATTTTAAAAAAGTTTATGAACTTCTAAAAAGAATTTTAAATATTTTTAAAAAAAAAACTTAAAAATTTCTCTCGAATCAACGAAAACACCGAATTGCTTCATTTTTTAGACTAAACCGAAACAAACTCCGAGACAAAATCCAACAAGATTGGTTTGGCCTTCTTCATTAGACAAGCATGCCATAACTCTCCTGATTATGGCAATTCATCATCACAAAGGTCATCACCATCCAATCAATTGTTGAACAGCCAAGGAGATCACTGCACGGGCAGGTACTCTTTTGCTTAACCACCGTAAAACCATTGATT